TTTTGTGTTAGCGCATCCTGGTGAACTATGTGTAAAATGCCAGAATTCATATGATGCTGCTACAGCTGATATACAGTATATTTGTTGTCAAAATACCTTTTAGAACATATGTTGTTAAAATAAAATGAACAGTCCAATGATCATTTTACTGATATGTATAAAGACTGCAAAGGTTGACAAATCTTGAAGTCTGTATGAAGTTGGAGGTAGTTTGAGGATTAATTTTTTTTGCTTTTTTAAGCTAAAAAAAAGGGGGGGGGTCGTATTATACATGAGATCGTATTACACATGAATAAATACGATATATACTAACTTTTTGTAGTGAACCATACTTGAATATCACACCTGGTCTTAAAGCTTCTTTTTAATACAAATTCTTTAGAGACTGAAAAGTTGACTTTGCTAAATTTATATAAAGGATCATCTTAGCGGAGCAATATAGTCTCAAGTTCTCCCTGTTGCATCGCTTTGCACCTGCAGAATTGGTTGGATGGATGTGGATTACCCTGTTAGGGGTTTCAGTGAGTGCAGCAGCCCTGGACCTGGCCCAGCACATGCCTGTCTAATGGCAGTGATATGTGAGTGGGACGCTTCGTGCTCCGCACACTGCGCCTCATTGATGAAGACGGGATGATTTTCCTCTGACCTGGCATGAAACAGCCAGGTGGTCCGAACTTGACATTTTTCATCTGCGCAAACGCTGGTATGTGTGCGAAAGACACGGAAGCACATTGAAAAAAAGAGAAAAGGAGGAGGAAAAATTATGCTTTACTTTATTCCAAAGTTTGTGTTGTCCAAAACTAGCATAGGTGCACGGTAAGCAGACTGGAAGAGGACAGATGAAGTGGTTTGGAACGGGCGATCATCACCCCTGCCAACACGAAACTGCTGTTCTTCCATTAACGCAGTTCAGCAGCATGTCTGCCCACTGGGCTGGTGAAAAGCACCATTGTACATTACAATTAACTAGCTTGTTCTTCTTTTCATTTATCTGGGCAAGGTTTGTTCAGGACACTTGTTCTTGTGCAATGTGTCACATTCTTTTAGTTCTGCACAGTCCTCCTGTACTCATTTGTCTCCTGCTGCTGAATATGAACCACTTTAATCATGTTTAGCTAAAACCCACTCAAATATGCAGCAGTTTCTACAGAAGGAACTTATGAATCAGATAGACTGCTCTGTCTATAAATGTGCATGCTTTTATTCTTTTAACAGGTCATTAATCTATCCATTAATACTTATACAAATATGCTTAGTTAGAAAAGAAAAAAAACAGTTTTTTTTATTTAACAGGAAAAGATTATTAAAAATCAAGCCTGACTCAGCATAATTGCTGTTTTACAGCAGGTTCCTGTTCTGCAGCACATAAAACACTCAGAA